TCAACATGGGTGCATTTGCATACATGCAGGCAATACACTCATACACATAAAAAGTAAAAATAATAAATAAAATATTTAAAAAACAAAAACAAACAACGGCAAAACCCCAAAGCCAGGTCTGGTGGCACATGCCTTTAATCCCAGCACTTGGGAGGCATAAGCAGGTGAATCGCTATGACTTTGAGGCCAGCCTGGTCTACACGGTGAGTTCCAGGGTGAATCGCTATGACATTGAGGCCAGCCTGGTCTACATAGTGAGTTCCAGGCCAAAAAGAGAAAAAATGCACCAAAAATAACCAGGCTGTTCTGGTTTCCCCCAAGTCCATCGGGTCCCTTTGCCCATCACTTCTCCTGTCCAACCCCAGCAACACTGACCTGTTGGCTTCGTATCTTTGCCTGTTCTGGTGCTTGGCTGGTGCTTGCTTCTGCTTCTGAGCAGCATTCCGTTGCCAGGAAGCACCAGTGTTCACCCCATAGCCAGCAGTGGTGGGCGTTTGGTCATTGCCACTTTCTGGTGATTATGCACAAAGCCATCCAGATCTGCACAGACTGGCACTTGCTGGGTAGCTTTCCAGGAAGATGGGTTTGGGTTTTAACGAAGAGCCTGGAAGGACAGGCCTTACTGCATCACACCTGGTGAGAGTGGGCTGTGTGCAGCCACCAACTTCTCTTTCCATCTGGGTACTTGACCAATAGGCTCTTGCAATTACTAGGGGTACGGGGGTGCTGGGTCTCCGTCTGGTCCTGATTCCTGCTCCCTGGACAGGTTTATCCACCAGGTAAACCAGGCAGCAATCACCATCCAACGCTGGTACCGCCGCCAGGTACAGAGGCGCCGAGCAGGAGCAGCAAGCCTCGAGCACCTGCTGGCATCCAAGCGAGAGGTCAGTATGGTTGTATAAGCCAACCCAGCTCACCCAGGGGCTGGGCCTAGAGTCTCCAGGGTCTGACTGCAGACAGTGGAGTTCTCAAGACAAATCAAATTTGGAATTTGATTTGGAATTGCCCACAGGTGCATACCCCATCTGTGGGTCCTGCTTGGTGCTTGTGGCTTTTGTTGGGGTCACAGTGTTGGAAGACACCAGTCAAAACCAGGAGGGTACTCTGAGCAGGCTCCAGTCTGAGTGTTGCAGTGCTGTCTCCCCCAGCTGCACTTCCCTCACCTGGGGGTGGGGCTTGCCCTCTATCAGGACAAGATGGCAGGCTCAGTATCCTGTGGCTCTCCCCCCTTCTGTACTAGTGACTACAGGAGCTCTGTGGAGACCTCCAGCCAGTTCCAGGGCTCTGCTCATCTTCCAGTTCTGTAAAGTTCATAGCTTTGACTTCTCCTGGCAGGAACAGCGGCAGCGGCTAGGCAGTGGGAACCTTCTGGACCTGCACTGGCAGGAGGACATGGCAAGGAAGAGGGCCCGGGAGGAGAAGGCTCGCCAGGCCAGGCAGGCAGCCATTCAGGTACCTGGTTCCCCAGGCAGGGCCCTGCAGCCTACAAACCAGAGTGCGTTGTTAGTCCCCAGCCTCACTCTGTGACACTAGTGCTTGGGGACACTGAGCTCCAGGGGAGCTGGGCTGCAGAAGGAAAAGGGGATGTCCTGCTCTACGGGGCTGCTCAGAGATGCCCCCCCATCAGGAACTGCAGCAGAAACGAGCCCAGAAGGCAGGCGAGGCTGAGCACAGGCTGCCCAAGGATAGTTCACAGACCAGAGCGCTACGGCAGCCTCGACCCACCCAGGAGCTACCCTTGATGCCAGGCAGTGTCACTCACCAGGCCCTCAAGGCCAACAATGCTGGTGAGTGGCTTTCAGTCTACCTGACTCTGGGAGACTGGCTAAGAAGGATCTGTAAGTTCTGCCAGACCTCAGCCCTCTTGCTAATTCCACCTGCAGAACTGGGATCTCAGCCCCACCTCCCTGCCCCCCCACCATCTCTGCCTCTGTCTGGCTCACTTGTGGGGCTAGACTTGAGGTGCCACACCTTGACAAACAGTCCTGGCCATGGGACCTGTAGAGCAGAAGCCCAGCACTCTAGGGTTGTCTCTGCCCCCCCCCAAACTTCACACCCTAGGAGCATCTCTGTGGACTTGTATTATACTGCCTCCCCTATACTTGGCTCCTTCCCAGAGCTCCTCCAGATTCCGGGTCCTAAGTGCATTGACACTGTGTTCTGTTGTGCAGGTGACAGCATCCATCCCACCAGCCCTGGACACCCCTGCCCTCCTGCCTCTGAATCATCCCCAGAGCCCCAGCAGCCTTCAGAAGACAAGCCACAGGTCTGGACACAGTGTGCCCCACCCCATTGGCTTTGGGGGCATGTCCATGTCTGGGTGGCCTGAGCTGACCTTTGCCTGCCCTCCTCTCAGCTGTGGGGTCCCTTGTGCTCTGAAAGGATGCCCAGAGGGCTCCTGTTCTGATGCAAGACAGCAGCGTGGTAGCCTCTCTAGGGTGAGGTCTCACAGAAGTGCTCTGGAGTCCCACTGGGCTTTCACATTTGCCGAGGGTGGGGCCTTGTGTCCCTACCCACAGAAGAGGAGCTGGAAACTCAGAGGCCAGGGAACAGCAAGGCCACAGAGCTGCTCAGTGTGAGGCTGGGCAGCAGAGCATGTCTTCCTGGGGGAGGGCCCTGAGACATGTCCCAGGTGGTATACGCTCTGACTCACTGAGATGGGTGCAAAGGCACCTTGCCCAGCACCCTTGGGTTGGTCTTGTACATGGGGGTAGCCCTTTAGCCACCAACAGCCTTACTGGTCTCCCACTCCCTGCCTGCCTGCTATAGGGCATCTGTTCCCAGGATGTGGCCAGAGAGGACATAGAAATACTGGGCCCCACTAGGAGCAAGCTCAGGGCCAGAGTGACTCTGGATGAGCTGCTGGACACACTGAAGCTACTGGAAGAGGAGCCCGAGCCACTGCCCTGCCCCAAGGCCTATCACAAGGAGAGATACGCCTGTACTAGTGAGGTGAATGGGCCATGTACCCTCTCTCTCTCCTGCCAGGCACTGGCACCATCCACCTAGGCACGAGGCTGCTGTAGAGGTCAGAGTAGTTAAGTGTGGCTGTGCTCCTACTTTAGTCATGACTCTTAACAAGGGCCAGATGGGGCTGTATTGACCCCTGCACTCCCTGTTTCCTTAATGCCCTTAAAGGTCTGAGCAACCAGAAAGGCCTTTCTCTCCAGATCCAGGCCCACTCCCTCCCTACATCACTGCCCCCTATCCCCAAAGGACCCCAAGTTCTCAGACTTCCCTGACAGCCCTCAATGTGGGACCCCCACAGGATGCCAACTCCCTGACAGCTGACAACCTGGAGAAGTTTGGGAAACTCAGTGCACCCCCTGGACCCACTGATGATGGGACTCTGCTATCAGAGGCCAAGCTGCAGAGCATCATGAGTTTCCTGGACGAGATGGAGAAGTCAGGGCAGGACCAGCTGGCACCCCAGCGGGAGGTAGTCACCCACCAGGCCCCTGTTGGCTCCCAGTGGGAAATGGCTACTCACAAAGCCCCTATGTAGCTGCCCTACTTCTGGGTTCTAAGCAGAGGTGGAGGCTGACAGGGCTGGCTTGTCCTACCTTGGGCTCCTCTCTAGATAGGTCACCTTTGGCTGCCTCTATAAGCCCTGTCCAGGTAGACAGTCCTGTCATCCCTGGCCTGTGTCTTTCCTTAAGTGAACAGTCTCAGTGGAGTAGTCATAAGTTTGTTGCCATTGGGGAGGAAGGTCAGAAGTGAACAGACATTTCTCATGATCTCTGTTTGATCATTAGGGACAGAGCCTTCGTTCACTGACTAGTAAAAACAGTCTCCATGGTTTGACCTGCTGCCTACTGTCCCTTCATCAGATGCCCTATGTGTAGCTGTTCCTCCCTCAGAGCAGAGTGGAGGAGCAGTGGAGGATGTCAGGGCTCCCGTGGAGGATGGGCAGTAGGTGGTGGGCTGCCCGCCTGAGGCTTACCGTGTCCTTAGGGCCTGGTGCTGGAGGTGGGTCGGAGGCCCCTGGAGTTGGGATCTGAGGGGAGCACATCCATGATGCGTCTGAAGCTGGAGGTGGAGGAGAAGAAGCAGGCCATGGTGCTGCTTCAGCGAGCACTGGTGAGGCCGCCAGGACCATCGTCCCAGGGCCTCCAGCCAGGGTGGGGCCTGCGGCACCTTGCCTGGGCCACCGTCATCCCTGAGGCCGTGTCATTGCCTTCTCTCCCATTCGGCCGTGGGTACCCAGGCCTGGGTCTCTGGCAGGGACCCAGTGCCAGTACTTTTGTCGACACATACCGTCTACAGGCACAACAGCGTGACCTCACCATCCGGCGGGTCAAGGAGACAGAGAAGGAGCTGAGCCGACAGCTGCAGCAGCAGAAGGAACACTACGAGGCCACCATCCAGCGACACTTGTCATTCATTGACCAGGTGACGTGGCCCAGGGGGAGCACGTGGGGTGACAGCTCAGTCTGCAGACTGAGAGTTGGGATCACTGTCCCTCCATTGAAGCACAGTGTAGGCTGCAGGATGGTACTAGCCAAGGCCCATGGGTGGTCCCAGAGCTGACTGGCCCAGTGGAAGTACCTGGGGTAGGCATCTTAATTCAGAGCTGCCCTTCACATCCCACACCCTTCACAGCTGATTGAAGACAAGAAGGTTCTGAGTGAGAAGTGTGAGGCAGTCGTCACCGAGCTGAAGCAAGGTGACCAGCGGTGTCGGGAGCGCGTGGCCCAGATGCAAGAGCAGCATGACCTGGTGAGCTTCCCCAGCTGATACCAGGCTATGAACAAGTTCTCAGAGGCATCATTGCAGCCTAGGGAGATAGATAAGAGACACCCTCCCCTTTTCCACCCCTTGAGCTGTATCAAGTGTGGGGCCAGGCCCTGAGGTGTGGGTTGCCGTGTCCAGGTGAGGATGCGTGGCTCACTAGCCCCTTATCATAGGTTATGGACTGGGGAGTCCAAGCCCAGCCTACCCACTGAGGTCCTGAGCAGTGGCACTGCGCATCTCAGCTGTGCCAGTCCAGGCCACACTTCCAGCTCCCACCTGTTTGGCTGGCAGGTACTGGTTAAAAGGCTGACTGAACTGATTAACTGTGTTTTCCCCCCAGAATGGACCTGCCATCCTTAAAACCACCCTAGACTGGAGCCCAGGCTCCCAAGTGAGGGTGAATGGACACTACTTAAAGAAACCCTGGTATCCACAGCCCACAGCCAGGGTTGGAACCTGAAGGTCTGGGTGGTCCTGTCAGCAGTGTCAGGGATGGAGGCATGGTTCCACACCACCCACCAGCCTGAGGAATCTCTTACCCTTTAGGGACCTTCTCTCAGGCAAAAACCAGAATTCTTGGCTTCACTATAGAAAAAAATTTCAGGATGATCCTATGAAGCAAAATTACAGTTTATTAAAAGACATTTTTAGGGGCTGGAGAGATGGCTCAGTGGTTATGACCACTGGCTGCTCTTGTAGAGGACCTGGGTTCAGTTCCTAGCACCCACATGGTGGCTAACAACCATCTGTGATTCCAGTTCCAGGGGATCTGATGCCGTCTTCTGACCTCTGCAGACATTACATGGCATGGGTGCACTTATACACACGCAGACAATCTACTCGTACACATAAAATAAAAATAATACTTTTTTTTTTTTTTTTTTTTTAAAGAACTTGTACTTACCTCAACCAGGTTACCAAGGAAAGAAGGATTATTTGGTAAATTGAAACCACTGTACCTTGTGAACTTATTGCTATTTGATAAATTTTGACATGGTGGAAAGACACAAGTATGACATAGTGCACTCATGGCTTTGTTGGTCCATCCCTCCCAGAGCAAACCTCCTGCCTAACATGTACAGAACTGAGTTGTTAGGCTTATAATATATAAAAAGAGCACGTGTATGCCAATATGGCCACAAAGAATATGTATGGTGACAGAGCTGTACTAAACTAATGAAATGGTTCTAGATAATAAATTAGAATCCTTGAAATGAATGAAGGGAACCAGAAATAGCAAACGAGATGGGTTGAACAAGAAACAATATACATTTGTTTTCCTTTCTTCCTTTACCTTCTTTAAAATACATGGTATTTTATAAAGTAGCATTGTAACAGTGAACATTCCTTCGGGAGCTTTCCATAGCAAAGTTCTTTTCACTGCCTCTGCCTTTGCCCTTCTGCGGTTACTCTTTAGAGTAGATTATGTGTCCTCCATTTTGCCCAGCATGCTGAATTCTAGAGGAGCCACATTAAGATGTCAACTACTAAATTATCTTCTTTACATTTACAGAATATCTAATGACCTTTAGACAGCAGCCACCAGGCCCTGCATAAAAAAAATTAATATATTTTTTGTAAAAAGACATTTTTAACAGATTTTAAGCACAGGATTTATAGGAAGAGATGTTCAAGGAAGGAATGAGACATAGATGTGGGCTTCTCAAGGCAGAGTTGTGCTTAGCATCTTTACAGTGCGTTACAATTGTTCAGCATATGCTGTCCAGGGTTAGAAGATTTCCTTCTGTAAATGGAGGTTTATTATTATTTAGGAATGTATTTTCTGTACGTGTATTAAGTGCACCCATGTTGTGCAATGCCTGCAGAAGTCAAAAGAAGGCATTGGATCCCCTGGAACTGGAGTTATGGACAGTCATTGGCCACCATGTAGATGCTGGGAATTGAACTGAGGTCCTCTTTGAGAGCAGCCAGTGCCCTTAATTGCTGAGCTGTCTTCTCTAGTGCCTGTAAATAAAGTTGTCAGGTAGACTTATGAGGGGTTTTGCTTAGATGTGGGAATAACAGGAAGTGTTAAGACACAAGGTTATGAGTCATTTAAGCTCAAAGTAAAGCGTTTGTTTCGTGAACATTTTTGTTGGAGATGTCTTTAGGAAAACACACGTCATCCCTGTAGTCAGTTTTCCTTTCTCAGTGGTGTCTGAAGGTTAGGCAGGCCAGGCCCTGGATGGACCTCTTTTCCTTCCTGGGTTTTCTTCCCATGTCCCTTAGCGTTCTGCCTTTCTCTCCCTCCTGCCTCAGCCCAGCAGATGGTGGTATCCTGGGGGGTGGAGGGTGGGGGACCTCCACAGGCTAATGGCTACCAGCACCACCCCTCTTGAGTGGACTGCATGACAGGGTATGGTCACTGCCCCTGGGGAGAGAAGGAGGCACTCTGCAGAGTTGGAGCCAGGGGCAGAGGACGCAGTTGTCACCGTCGCCCGCCTTCTCTTGTCCTAGGAGATTAGGAAACTCAAAGAGCTCATGAGTGCCACCGAGAAGGTCCGCCGTGAGAAGTGGATCAACGAGAAAACAAAAAAGATCAAGGAGATCACTGTGAGAGGTGGGGGACTTCTGCCCTGGTATGGGTGGGGGGCGCTTTCAAGGGAGAAGAGTAGCTTTGATCCACATGTGGGGGCCCTGAGCATGGTCTTTCCTGGGCAGAGCCCTGGTGATGGCTGCCTGGGACAGGTGGACATAGACTCTGGTACATCTGCCAGCTCCCAATTCACAGAGGCTACAGAGAACAGGGGAATCCCTACCCCTTGGAAGCTAATGAGGCAAAGTCAAGTCAGCGGGTGAGGGTCACACCATCTGGGGGTCGGGGACCAGAGACAATCACGGGAAGGAGGTGCCAGGGCCTCTTAGGCTGACAGAGAAGATGTATGGAGGAGCTATGGGACCCTGGGAGGTTGTGGGGGGGGTCACCCCTCAGCCTGGCCTCTTTTCCTGAGTTCTCCTCAGGGTCCTGGGCACTTCCAGTGGTTAGATCACTTGAGGGGGTTGGACAGTCCATGTGTACCACAGGCTGGGAAAGCCCTGAGGCCTCAGTGGTGACTCCGGGGCACTCCTACTGGAGCCAGGTTTCTGCCCTTTCTCTGCCAGTGGTACAGCAGGCTACCTGTACTTTGAGCTGGTGCCCCATGTGGCCCAGTGGATAAGGCCTGGCAGCTCTGTTGCTGGTGCCCCCAGGTCTGGAGCCCGAGATCCAGAAGCTCATTGCTAAGCACAAGCAAGAGGTGAGGAGGCTCAGGGGCCTGCACGAGGCTGAGCTGCAGCAGCGCGACGAGCAGGCTGCACAGCGCCACCTGCGCCAGGCAGAGGAACTGCGGGAGCATCTCGAGCGGGAGAAGGAGGCGCTGGGGCAGAAGGAGCGTGAGCGGGCCCAGCAGAGGTAGGTCTCCAGCACTCCAGGAAGGCGCCGGGGGCTGGGTAGTAGAACAGCAGCCCGTCTTTCCTGCAATGTTAGCGGCCTGTGTGGGGCTTGTGATTACAGATCTCCTGCTGTGCAGGTTTCCTCATGGAGTCATCTGGGGATGAGTTTATAACTCTGCTGGCCCTGTTCCTTCTCCTCAGCCACGAGCTCTACAGCTCTGTGAAGACTTTCTTAGCGGGCCCCACAGTATCAAAACCTTAAGTGGTGCACGGGCACCTCTGTGCTGATGACAGCCTCATGTAGTCCCTCAGCCCTAGGGCTCACCGTTCAGAGAAATGACCAAGCCGTGCCCTCAGACCCTGGGACTTGGTGGCCAGGGGATGTGATGGGTGATGGTCATTGTGCCCAGGCACCAGTGGCCAGTGGGCAGCCCCTCTACTGGCCATGCCCATAGGACAGATCCTCCAGGGCTGTCCTGTTCTCCCTTGTGGCCCACCAGCCCTCTCCAGCACAGCTGGCAGACCCACGCTCTCCCACCCTCACTCAGGGAGAACACGGGCACGAGCTCTGGCAGAAGCGTGCTCAAATCACAGAACTAGGTGCCTGGCTCTCTCTCATGCTAGAAAGTGGGGCTGGTTCTGGCCCGTGTTCTGTTTGTCTCTCCATGGCTGTGACAAAACACTCTGACCAGCAGTGACTTAGGGAGGAAAGGGTTTATTCAGTTTATGTCTCCCGGGTCACAGCTCATCAGGGAGCCCAAGGTAGGAACTCAGGGCAGGAACCTGGAGGCAGGAGCTGGAGCACAGGCCATGGAGGAATGCTGCTTACTGGCCCCTGCTCAGCCTGCTTTCTTTTCTTTTTTTTTTTTTTAATACTTTATTATTATTTTTATTTATTTATATGTATGTGTGTATTGCCTGCATATAGGTAAGTGCACCCGTGTCGTGCATTGCCCGCAGAGGTCAGAAGAGACTGTCGGATCCTCTGGGACTCGAGTTACGGACAGTTGTTAGTTGCCATGTGGGTGCTGGGATTTGAACCTGGGTCTTCTGCAAGAACAGTCAGTGTTCTTATCTGCTGAGCCATCTCTCCAACCCTCAGTTTGCTTTCTTATACAACACAGGCCCACCTGCCGAGGAGTAGCACTACCCACAGTGGGCTGGGCCCTCCCACATCACTCAATAATCAAGAAGATGCCCCTCAGACATGGCCACAGGCCAGTCCAATGGAGGCAATTCCCCAACTGAGGCTCCCTCAACCCAGGTGTGTCAAGTTGATACTAAAGCTATCCAGCACAGCCCATTAGGCCCATGGTGACTGAGCAGAGGGAGGCCAGTGTGGGGACCAAGTAAGCCAGAAATTCATCTGAGCTGAGGCCACTTCACAGCGTTGCAGGGTCTGCAGCTGAAGGAGACTGGCAGTCCATGGATGGCACAGGGGCCTCATGGTCTGACTGGCCACTGTGGCCAGTAACTACGACTGGTGTCAAGTGCTGTAGGGACAGACTGCCTTGTGGGCCTGTGGCCACCCACTGTGGTGTGAGCATCCCTATCGTCCTGCAGATTTGAGCAGCACCTGGAGCAGGAGCAGCAGGCCCTGGAGCAGCAGCGCCGGCGGCTCTACAGCGAGGTGGCTGAGGAGAAGGAACGGCTGGGCCGGCAGGCAGCCAGGTGCCACCCAGGGCCGCTTGCCCCTTCTCAGAGTGACCCTTTGCCTGCCCCAACCTCTCACACAGTGACCCCCTTCTCCCTGACCTTGCTGGTCTGCAGGCAGCGGGCAGAGCTGGAAGAGCTGCGGCAGCAGCTAGAGGAGAGCAGTGCAGCTCTGACCCAAGCCCTGAGAGCAGAGTTCGAGAGGAGCCGGGAGGAGCAGGAGCGGAGGCACCAGGTCTGTGCCCCCTGCCCCTCTGGGTGCTAGGCTGAGCCTGGTTTCTAGTAAAGCAGGGGTCTCTCTTGCCTGACCCCGGTGGCATGAGGTCCCATACAGAGTGGGCGGGACCTGGGGAGTGGCCCTCAGGTAGCTCATGGTCTGTCCTCCTCCAGATGGAGCTGAAGGCCCTGAAGGACCAGCTGGAAGCTGAGAGACAGGCGTGGGTGGCCAGCTGCGCCAAGAAGGAGGTGGGCCAGCCAAGGGCGGGCTCCAGGGCAGGGTTCCCTAGGGACTTGCTCCGTGTCACCCCTGACTGCTTCAGGGCTGGTTCATCCCCAGCTGTGTGTGCTTCTGCTGCCCTCATGTGGATCCAGGAAGGGTAGAGTCAGAGCCAGAAAAATTGGGGCTGGGGCTGATCCTGGAGACCTGAGAGGATGTGTCCTTCCTCCCCAGAAATCACCTGCCTGTCATTCCGCATCAGCGGATGCCCTGACTCTGAAGCCCCTCGGCCTCTGGTGCCTGCTTTTAGGAATTTCCAAATTTCTCCTAGGCAACGCCCTGTTTACCCTGATGTGGTCTGGCCTAGGGGCTGCCCTAGCCTCTTGGCCACGGGGCAAGTTCGCCTTTTTGGCTTGGCCTGTCTAGCAAACAATAGTAGGTTGTCTTGGGCTGCAGATCTCCAAAGGAGAGGAACATTGTGCTGTGCTGGTGGCCTCCTTGACCAAGCGCCCATCCTGCCCAGGGTCTCTGTTAGGTCCCTGTGCCCACAGTAGGTCCTGAAGACAAGATGTGGTCCCCCAAGGACCTGGGGGCCTGGGCAGGACAGGGCCCCTTCACCCCATGATCTGAACATCTTCCTGTGACTCAGAGTAGGGACCATTTCCAGGAACCCAGTGAGGCTGTCCCTGCCACTGTCTCCATTGTCCTATCCTCCGCCCTCGCGGTGGCAGACTCCAAGCCAGCTGTGTGTCCCTGCAGGAAGCGTGGCTGCTGAACAGGGAACGTGAGCTGAAGGAGGAGATCCGCAAAGGCCGGGACCAGGAGATCGAGCTGGTCATCCACCGTCTGGAGGCCGACATGACGCTGGCCAAGGAAGAGAGTGAGAGGGCTGCTGAGAGCCGGTGAGCCGCCTTCTGCCTTTCGGCTCCCCAGACGAAGGAGGGCAGGACCCAGGGAGAGGGAGCAGCAGTGTGTCTCGAAGCTCTGCCACCTGCCTCTGCCCACCAGTGTGAAGCGTATTCGGGACAAGTATGAGGTGGAGCTCTCCGAGCTGGAGCAATCGGAGCGGAAGTTACAAGAACGCTGCACAGAGCTGAAAGGACGCCTGGGGGAGGCAGAGGAGGAAGAGGCACGTTTGCAGTCCCTGGTCTGGCAGAAGGAGAAGGAACTGGAGGAAGTGCGGGTGGTGAGTGGCCCCAGGCCCCTTCTGCATCCAGAGCCTGCTGCCTTGCCAGCCTGCTCACCTCCTCTCCTGTTGCCCAGGTAAACACACAACTGTGCAGCGAGCGAGGCAACCTGGCCCAGGTGGTCCGCCAGGAGTTTGCAGACCAGCTGGCAGCCTCTGAGGAGGAGAATCAGAGGGTGAGAGCAGAGCTGACTGAGCTGCGGGCCCGTCAGCAGCTGGAGCTGGACGAGGTCCATGAGAGGTGGGTGGCCAGGACTTCGGGCGCTGGGCGGCTGGGTCTTTGGGTGCTGGGCAGGGGAACAGTCGGACACTTTCCCCCTCTGAGCAATGCAGAGGAGCCCACGGGCCGGTGCTGGCATGAGTTCCAGCTTTGTGCCCAGGAAGACTGGGCCAGTTCCCCCGCCCCCCAGGTGGCACTTAGTACTGGAGCATTGGGTGTCCCAGCAAAGTCTCTGCCCTTGTTCTAGGAGCATCAAAGCAGGTCAGTTCAAGCAAGGCCCCCGCTTGTGCTTCTCCAGGGAGGTAGTCCTAGGGTCTCTGTGGGCTGTAGCAAGCGTGCAGCAAGGAGCTCGCTTCAGGGAAGGTGACGACGAACCCCTGAACTCCCTTAGTCTTTCCTTCCATGTGCCTAACTGACATGGCTCTTAGAGAGAGGCATGGGGTGGCTTCCCACCCATTTCAGCACAGTACCCTGGCCTCTGCTGCTTGAAGGACCGTTATTTTAGGGCCTAGCTCCCATGAAGGCAGTGGGCCAGGGCCAGCTGCCCACTTCAAGGACTGGCACCAAGGGATGGGAGGCTGCTCCTGCAGGCTAACCTGGAACTGAGGGTGGGGGTTTCGGAGAAGTCCACTGCCTGTCTCTGCAGGGTGAAGATGGCCCTGGCGAGGAAGGAGGAGGCCGTGAGCAGTCTCCGGAAACAGCATGAGGTGGGTCTATGCAGGGGTCTTGTGTTTGTCCCCTCTGGTGTGGCAGTTTCCAGGGTCTGACTGACTTGCATTGCAGGCTGCTGTGAAGCGGGCCAACCACCTAGAGGAGCTGCTGGAGCAGCACAGGAGACCTCTGCACGTTAAGTGACAGCACCTTTGGGGTGGAAATCCAAGCCTGAGATGGACGCTGAGCTCTGCAACTGAGCCCAGGTCACAGACCTCCAAGACACAGGGCCAAGAGTAGGGTACCAGCTGGCGTAAGGGGCACCCCTCATGGGGCCCCAGTGCTCAGGACAGCACTGTCGGCATGCCTGGGGCTGTTTTATAGTAAAAGATGGTTTTTTAGCGCTTTGTGTCATGTGCTTGTCTTTCTTTGCTGGATTGGGATGTGGGGAGAGGTGAGCAGAGGCTGCTGAGCACCCGTCACACAGCCAGGTGTGGCTCTCTCCTCTCCTGCTTGTCCAGGCTGATAGGAAAAAGGCTAGTGGCCAATAGTCCATCATCTCTCAGCGCCACCCCATCTATGTTCTCTGCCTTGCCCTGTAGTCCCTGAGACTCAGCTCCAGCAGATAGTGGCTGTTTGTTCTCAGTCTGGTCCCTCCAGGAACTCAGCAGACTCACCCCTGGAAGGAGCTTTGTCTCCAGCTCAGCCCTGTGGGAGCTAAAGCCCCAGGCACTCTTGAGGTCCCTGGCCAGGGCACCATGGGAATAGATGCCAGCCCAAATTCTGCCTGTTACCAAGCATAAAGATACCCCTGCACTTGGCTCTGTCAGGCCAGTTAACCACCTTACATGGCCCAGGTGGGCTGTCTACACAGATGGAAGGCAAAGTCTAACCCACACATGGGAGGCAGAGTCCTGTAGCCCTGGGTGTGGACAGTCTTCTAAGCAGGCCTCACTGTCCCAGCATCTTATCAGGCAGGCCATGGGCCTGAACTGGTCCCCTCGAAGCCCCTGTGCTTCAAGGAGCATAGGTCCTGTCGACCACTGGTTCACTCTACCACTTCCTGGAAGCTGCTTCCTGTGAGGGCCCAAATTCATCGTTCCTCTGCAAAGTGTCACCTGCCAACTGAGTCCCCAGTGTGTCTTCTGGACACGAAGCCCTGTCCTGTTCTGTGCCTGGGCTCTTTGGAGAAGGCTGGTCATGAGCTGGGTATGTGGTATATCATTTCTCCGTCCCCCAGGAGATCTGTATGTAGGCTGCAGGACCTCTCCACTTAGCAAGTTCAGGGGTTCAGATCAGGAGAGAGCCCAGGACTAGGGTGAGGCAGCACCAACATCAGAGTCCCTAATGAGGACAGAGCCCAAGGGGGAGATGTGAATTCAGGATGAGGGTGGTACTTGTGGACTTGGGGGTTGAGAGGAGGATGAGGTCAGCCTGAGGTTTGGATCAGAGGCTGCACTTGGCCTTGACATCGGGTGTAGTTCTGGGCCCTGTTCAGAACACAGGGCAAGTCAGCCTATGACCCAGCCCCCAGCTGCCTACCTCCTGTGCCAGCTTTGCTCCGAGACTTCCTACCTCCCTGCAGTCAACCCAAGCCCTATGGTTCTCAGGACTGGTCCTAGTCCTGCCAGAGATCAGAAGGGACTAGACCAGGAGCAAAGGCTGGAAGGGATTTTGATGGGCAGTAGGCGTCCTCAGCCGCTAGGACTGACCTGTCCCCTCCCACAACGGGCTCCAGGATTGAGAGGACCAAACTGGGAGGAGTAGACTACCAGTCCTGGTTTACATGTGGGCACTGTGCCCCCCTCTCTTAAAAAAAAAAAAAAAAAAAAAAAAATGCTTGAGTTGAAACAAGCCCCCACCCAAACACTGCTGGTGTGACTCTTCTTACTCTCTTGCTAGCTTGTTTCTATTGTACAAAAAAAAAAAAAAAAAAAGCATTTTTTTTCTTAGCTGGTGTTCAGATCCCCTAGAGCTGAAATGACAGGCAATTATGAACCTCCTGATGTGGGTGCTGAGAACTGAACTTGGGTCCTCTGGAAGAACAAGTGCTCTTGACCAGTGAACCTTCTCTCCTGCCCTTCCTTGATGAGATTTCATTCAAGTTTTAATTGTCACATATGACTTTTGACATTAAGAAGCTGGGCCAAGTATCTTGTCCACATCCTTCCCACAGGCCATATAAATGCCTCATGTTTCCTGGCTGGTGGAGAAATGTGTCCCCGAGGGGCTGGAATGGGGAGGGGAAGGGCTGGCTTGGACAGGTGTGCCCCAGGAGGGGACAGAGACACGACACCATTTCCGCTTCCTGAGGATGGTGGGAGTAGGTCCTGTCCTCTGGAGCGGTTATCCTGCCCAGCCTCCTGCCTTGCCTTTTATGAACCCTTCCACTGGAAGTAGTTCCAGCACACCGTGGATGAAAGACTAGGGGCCACGTGAGGCAGCACTGTCACCTAGCAGGACGCAGCACTGTGGGAGAGTCCCTTGTGGGCAGGGTCCCTGCACAGGGGTGGGGATGCCCAGAGCCTCCGCTGCCTGGGAAGCTCTGTCCCTTCCTCATCCGGGCCAGTGGACTGTGGAGGCAGATGGGAGGGAATTCCCAGGAGTTGGGGCCAGACTCTAGACCACATATAGGGTTCTGTCTGTGCTTAGCCTGGTCTACGTTACAAGTTCCAGGCCAACAGAGAAACCCTGTCTCAAAAAGACCAAAACAACAAAGAGCAGTTATCTGTGCCTGGTTAGAACTGCAAACCAAAGCAGACACCTGCCCTGTGCAGTTCACACTCCAGTAGGAGAAACAGACAGGTGGCAGAGCATGGACGTCCACATCCCTGCCCTTTGCTTCCCTCGCTACTCTGAGTTTAATTTTTGGTTATTTTTCTGACTTATTGAGCAGCATACTTAGGCCGTTCTTTGCAGTCCTTTTTCCTTCCAAATCTATGCATTTGAAACTACTGGGCATGGTTGTGTGAGGTAGGTCTGCAGTAGCGCTACTTAGAAGGCAAAGGCAGGTGGATCCCTTGAGCTCCTAAATTCAAGAGGAGCAGCCTGGGCACCGTAGTGACACTCAACAAAACAAAAAACTGTCAGTCAGGCCGGTGAGACGGCTTAACAGGTAAAGCGTTGCCATGTAAGCCTAACAACAAAGCTCAATCCCTGGAACCCATGTTAAGGTGGAAGGAGAGAACCAACTCCACAGAGTTGTCCCCTGACCTCCACCCATACAGACACACACACACACACACACACACACACACACACACACACACACAATACATTTTTTAAAAAGGAAGACATTAAAGGGTAGGAAAAAAAAAAAAAAAAAAAAAACTGAAAAAAACGACTATGGCCAGGCATGGTGCAGTGCCTGTGAGGTCAGAAGAGCATCAGATCCCTGGGAACTGGTGTTATAAATAGTCAGCTGCCGTGTGGGTGCTGGAAACCAAACCCTTTAATCCCACTACTTAGAAGGCAGAGTCAGGTGGATCTATGTGAGTTTGAGGACAGTCAAGGCCACATAGTAAGACCCCGTCTCAAAAAAACAAAACAACTATGACCAACCCTCAAATTACAGCCTGAGCTGCACCCACAAGATTCGGGACGTTGTGTTTTCATGGTTCTCATGCTGCAAATACTTTCGCATTTCCTTGGTGGTTTCTTGGAAGCACGGGCCTTTCAGAGCCGCATTGCTTCAACTTTCCAATTCCCAGCTTAGCTTCTTCGTGGTCAGAGGACATGCCCTCTCTCATGTCCATCCTTCCACTCAACTGAGATTGCTTTGGTCACATTTTGTAAGTGCTACATTTATTATTTATTTATAAAGAATGCATTGGGGCTCAGGGAGATGGCTCATCAGGTAACAGTGCTTTCTATGCAAGCATGAGTTCAGAGTTTCGATTCTCAATGCTCACTTAGATGCCGGGAGTGTGGGGGGTTGGGGGGGCATGGTGGCCCACCTGCAACTCCAGTGTTCAGAGGGTGGACTGGATCCCCAAAGCAGGTTGGCTTGCCAGACCAGCCATGTTGGCAAACTCTGGCTTCACCCAAAAGACTGCCTCGGTGAATGATGTGGAGAGCAGTTGGGGAAGACATCCTCATGTCTCGATAGCCATACGCACACGTGCACGTGCACCCACACCTCCACACACGAGTACCCACACACCTGTGAACATGCATACATGCACACATACCACACACAGAGATACATGCAGAACAAAGAATGTACTGCAGTGTTAGACCCAGTGTTGTCTATAGCCACTAGGTCTAGAGGATTCCTCGTCTCCTGAGTCACCCGAGGCCTTCCTGATGTCCTTCCTCCTGCCTCTGTCGGTTCCTGCGGACAGATTGCCCACATCTCCCACTGTGTTTGGCCTCATCTTTTCTCACTTCAATTTGCTTGTTTTCACTTTATGCATTTTGAGGCTATTTTATTAAGTACGTACACACGTAGGACTACTGTGATTCCTTTATCATTACGAACCATGTTGCTTTGACTCTAAAAGTGCAGGTCTTTATCTGATAGTTTAGCCATGCTTCCCTTGTTTCATGTTACAGCACGTGTCTTTGCTCTTCTTTTAAAATTACTTATTTTTGGACTGGAGAGATGGCTCAGTGATTAAGAGCACTGACTATTATTGCAGAGGACCTGGGTTCTATTCCCAGCAACCACATGGCAGCTAATGAATGTCCATAACTCCAGTACCAGGGGAATCTGATTCCTTCTTCTGACCTCTGAGGCTGAGGCAGGCAGATCTCTGTGAGTTCGAGGCCAGCCTGGTCTACATAGTGAGCTCCAGGACAGCTGGGGCTACAGGGAGACCCTGTCTCAATAAGACAGAAAAAAAAAAAACCCACCAAAACAATTATTTTTATTCTACATGTATGAGTATTTTCCCTGTATGTGTGTAAGTGCACTCATGTCATGCAGTGACTGTAGAAACCAGAAGAAAGTATCAGATCCCTTGGAACTGGAGTTACAGATGGTTGTTAGCCAGCATGTGGGTCCTCTGGAAGAGCAGCCAGCTTGCTTTCAACCACTGAGCCGTCTCTCCAGCCTTTTGCTCCTCCTTTTATTATCAACTTTTCTATGCTCTGGAGTGCAGCATACTGCAAAAGTACCCACAGACGTGATACAAACTAGGCTTGGATGTAGTTTGGTGACTCCAATCTAACAGGTTCACCTGTTGTGTTTATTGCTTTATTTAAACTTATTTTTATGTGTATGAGTGTTTTGCCTTCATGTATATAAGTGTGTTCATGTCGTGCAGTGCCCGTGGAAGTCAGAAGAGGGCCTCTGATTCCCCCGGAACTGGAGTTACAGTTGTTAGTCGCTATGTGGGTGTTGGGAAGCAAACCTGGGTCCTCTGCAAGAGCAGCCAGAGCTTTTAACTGCTGAACCATCTCT